AAATTTTTCAATTAAACAAAATCAATTGAGGAGCGTTTTTATATTCGTTTTTTTTTTATTTTCTCATAAGAAAAACAAAAAAAAGCCGTTAAAATGAGATTTTGTGTTAAATAAATCTAAATTGATTATTGATTTCTATTAATAAATAAAATAAATCGTTTTTCTTTTTCATATTAGTTAATTATTTATTTATTTATTTAACCGTTTGGCGACGGGTCTACGATATATGAAACGGGAACATTTTTCTCTTAGATAGAAATATCAAATTCTATTACGATATGGAATTTGATAACTTCTATATAAAGAGTTCTTTATATAATGAGCTCTTTATATAATGAGGAGGGAACCTGGGGATCTTGGATTTATTCTGTTAAAATTAAATATCTTAAGAAAAATCTAACCGTCCTATATGTGGGACATAGATTAGGAAAGGGTTAAATAAAATATTTAATCATCCAAATTATCTAACAGTTGATTTGATTTTAATAATTAATGAAAATGCAAAAAAGTGAGGAGATTTTAAATATAAAAGAATAATTTATATGAAAATAGTTCGTGTTTTTTTTGTTGAAAAGTTTCTAAAAGATGATTTTGTCAATAGTTTTTGACAGTCGAGTTCGATAATTATTTCTGGATGATTTCTTAATCTTGTTTTATAAATAAATATTCTCAGATCGACAATAGAATTATCTTTTCTAGTTTTCGAATTTGTTTTGTTTTTTTGAATGCATTTATTATTTATTTTTAAAGATATTATTTTATATTCGAATCGTTAGATAAATATTGATTTTCTTCATATTTCTATTTCTAAGATAGATAGAAATAAAATACCTTTAGATATTAATTATATATTATATATTTTATTATCCTTCTATAGAATCTTCAATAAGAAATTGATCACTATTCAACTTTTTCTCTCATCTTCCATTTTTCATAAGTGATAAGTAAAATCCTGAAAAGAGTCACATTTTCTTTCTTAACTAATAGTTTTAAAAAAATTTTCCTAGAGTATATACTGACAATCGAAATTTAGTTAACTAGATTATAATCATAGAGAATTGGTTAAATAAGATTTTATTAAAAACTCTTACTAGTTTCTTGTTTTTGATCTCGATCTTTTATTATTGGATTATATTACCTTTTCATCCTTTTTTTTTTAGCAAAGTAAAACCTTTCGACAAATTATTATTAATAATAATAAAAAAATCTCTATTAGTATTGATTATATTCAATAGGAATATAAATATTCCCTTAATAAGAATATTATTTAATATAAACTTATATTGATTGATAAATAATATTATTATCTAGATTTAAATTCTTCTAGATAAAACAACTATCCAAAAATAGATTTAATAAAAACGTTTTTTTTTTTTATTAAATAATGCTTCGTCTATTATTTATTTATTTTTAAAAAATGATTTTAAATATTCTATTGTAATAATAATCATAATTATTTTAATTAATTATAATAAAATAATTCGTTTTAAATAAATAAGTTAAATATATTATTAAACGATCAGAATTATCTTTAAGTAGTTTTAACTAATTAATCAAGCAGATAAAATCATTTTTTGAAAATTTCTCCATAAAAATTGAAATTTATATAAATAAAGTTTGATTTCTATTTTAAAACAAATAATCCGTTTGAATAGTCAATGTCATATAGTGAATGACATCAACAATGAGATATATTTTTTCTCCCTTCTTTCGTCTTTTTCAACGACGAATATTATATTATATATTTTAACCAAAATAACTTCCTAGACCTATCTATAATCAATTTAGCTTTTCAATGCATATCATTATCATAGATGAACGCAAGAGAAAGAGAGAGAGATAAAACAATATTTATTCGTCTTCGTACAGAATACAATAATATATCACCATTGAAAGGGTTAAAAAAAGTGAATAGGGCCAAGTTTGAAGTCTTATAATATATATAAATTATCATTCTAATTGGATTGTTTGACTAAAATGAACAATTTTAGAAGATAAATATATTAGATTTTATAAAACATTCGACATATATTTATTTTTTTTCAAAATAAAAACAAAAATAAAATGTTTTTTTCGTAATCAATAGAAGTTAATATAAAAGAAAAAAATCCGATAAAGATATATTTATATTAGAACCGATATTCTATCGTATAATTAATAAAAAAAAACAAAAAAAAACGATCGATTTTGTTAATATTAAGTTAAATAATTTATTTTACTTAAAATATATTTAAAAAAAAGAAAATTTGATTTTTTTTCTTGATTATGAAAATATTTGAATAAGTTTATTAAATAATAATAAGTTAAATCTAATAAAACTAAATTTGATTATGTTTTATGTTAAAAAATGTGATAAAATAAAGGGTTTATTGTCAAAGAGAATAATATTGTTTATATAATAATATGTCGACGACACATTATACGTCAATGTTTTTGCATGACAAATCAAAAAATAATCTCGATTCAAATAGACGACTATGATTATATTCATTTCAATGGTTACCTTTTTTCATCTTTTACAATAACTATTTATTTCTTTGTTTTCTATCATATTTATTTATTCGACAAAAACAAAAAAAAACACACAAAAGCAATGCAAATCATCGATCTAACCCTTCTCAATTCTCCTAGTTATTTATTCGCGAAGACGGTTTAGCAAGTGCAATTAGTCAATCAACACACATATATATATATATATATATATATATGTTGTGTTTAATATAATATCGAAATATTTGTGATTGTAAAAAACGTAAGTAACTATTATTTAAAAAAAAAAAAGTAATTATTGATATTAAGAACGATTAATGATTGGATCGAAGCAATAATGATAATAATATTCTAGTGTTTTATATAGATAGAGTGAATAGAATAATGATTTGTTTTGACCTAAATAAACTGATCAGACTTTCTTTCCTAACGATCGAGTCAAAAAATAAAAAAA